GGTTAAGCACCATGGCTGTGGTGTACAGCTGCTTGGAGTATATACAATTATTATATACAAAAATAATATAAGTTATGTGAAAATTGTTAATGTATGATAACATTATATGATATGTGAACGTTTCAAATGAATAACGATATAAATTACAATGACACTGACGATTATCCATACTAGAAACAGCGGCAGAAATACCATGATAGTCAGTAGTTTCAGCAACAGTGCATAAGAAGTCAATATAAGTATCAAAGGTGCAATAGCCGTGAGTAAGAGTACCAGTATGACAATACTAGCAAAAATCAGCACAATAGCTACTGCACTGACCACAACTCCGTAACACACCTTTGCGAATAGGCCTTTGCCCATTTCTCGGATGCCAGTCAGAAAGGTCGTTCCAACAACCTGTTAAATAGATTTAAAGAATACAGCGATAGAGTTAAATTCATTAATTAATTTTAAACTTACAAGTTCTGGTCGGTGGGGTAGGTACATAACTGTTAAAAACAAAATAATATGTAAATTTCTATGAGAAGTTTATTACCTGTGTGTCGACCTGCAGGATCGGCAAATTTGGTTTTCCAAATTCAATAAGTGAAGTTCTGTCAAGGTTTTTGACTTCGGGCAACACCATGCCAAAACCCGGGTAGGAAATCATATGTACACTGCAGTGCAAATGGCGGCTGTCCATCGTCAAATTCCAACTGACTTGTTCTTCCTTATATAACTTTTTGAGAGAGGTATTTTATATTTTAATAGATTTCAGAGAAACTTTTAAGCACAAAATATTTAAATTTCTATGAGAAGTTTATTACCTGTGTTTCGACCTGCAGGATCGGCAAATTTGGTTTTCCAAATTCAATAAGTGAAGTTCTGTCAAGGTTTTTGACTTCGGGCAACACCATGCCAAAACCCGGGTAGGAAATCATATCTACACTGCAGTGCAAATGGCGGCTGTCCATCGTTAAATTCCAACTGACTTGTTCTTCCTTATATAACTTTTTGAGAGAGGTATTTTATGTTTTAATAGATTTCAGAGAAACTTTAAAGCACAAAATATTTAAATTTCTATGAGAAGTTTATTACCTGTGTTTCGACCTGCAGGATCGGCAAATTTGGTTTTCCAAATTCAATAAGTGAAGTTCTGTCAAGGTTTTTGACTTCGGGCAACACCATGCCAAAACCAGGGTAGGAAATCATATCAACACTGCAGTATAAATGGCGGCTGTCCATCGTCAAATTCCAACTGACTTGTTCTTCCTTATATAACTTTTTGAGAGAGGTATTTTATATTTTAATAGATTTCGGAGAAACTTTTAAGCGCAAAATATTTAAATTTCTATGAGAAGCTTATTACCTGTGTTTCGACCTGCAGGATCGGCAAATTTGGTTTTCCAAATTCAATAAGTGAAGTTCTGTCAAGGTTTTTGACTTCGGGCAACACCATGCCAAAACCCGGGTAGGAAATCATATCTACACTGCAGTGTAAATGGCGGCTGTCCATCGTTAAATTCCAAATGACTTTATGTAGTCCTGATTGGCTCATTGTTCCAATCAACACAACGATCATCAACACAAAAACCGTAAAATACAGTTCATACATATTGTATTAGCTGTAAGAAATCCTTCGAAACAGGAAAAATTAGCAAAAACGGTTCGGAGAAATATGTTGTTTTACACTGAAATGGTGCGGTGATACAAATGTAATAACAGTTACGTTATAAACAAGCCGTTTGTAATACACATGTTACCTATATTAGTAGTATTTGCCAGCATATATAAATATATAGAATGTTTTTTTTAAAAAACATATGTTCTACTTTTTACCGTTAAAAGTTCCGAAGTGTATTTTACACTTGTTGTAGGTATAATATGTTAGACCTATCTTCAGACTTATAAGAAAGCCAACGCTCGGTTGAGGCTGTACATAACAAATCTATTACAATTTTGAAATCCCCCAAAAAAAATATTAATCATTGTCAATGGTGATTTGAAATAATCTATTGGTAAGATAGAAGCCCAGTGACACTCAAGTTTATTTTAGTAATATCCTACGGCCGGGGAAATCATCGGTTCAGAAACAATAATTTTTATAAATAAATGTGTGATAATTATTCTAAAAAAAAACCTTTTTGAAGAATGTGCATAGTATTCTATTTTTGGACTTTGGTAAGTACAAAGTTGATCGTCTGTCTACAATAGTAACAAGTCACTTTATTTCTAGGAAAATATTAATATTTTGAAAAACCGTGATTTCGTATTCTTTTTGGTTCATATTTTACTATATTTTTCAATACTGTGAAAATTCTTAACTTCATCCCTTATACGTTAAAAGATTAGTGACTTCATTTTTCCAAATGAGAACAACTATTTTTAACTCGATACAAAAGCAGTAAAAAATTAAATTTTACTATCGTCGTTAGATTTTTAATTTTCATTAATCGGGTCGTTACTTATTACGTTTTTAAGTCTTGAAGTTTTGATCAATATTCCTTTGGGATTTCAACACAGGTAGCATTTTACTTGCAGTTAAATAATATTATCAACCCCGTCGTCCGTCGTTAAAACCGATAACCAGACACTAAACACTCACTACATATTTTTGAGATTTGAGATAATATTATGCCCTGGCTACTAAAGATTTGGAAATGTTACCATCATCAATGAACATAATAATATTGTTTTTCCAACCAAAAAAATCCATAATCAATGCCAATAAAACCCATATCGTTATTATACATTAAAAACCAAACGAATAGATTACAAAATATGTTATTTTATAAGGTTTGAAATGTTGTACACAAAGACTTACATAATCTATTCACATACATTAGTAATTCATTTAACTAGTATACAACTTAACTATTAAAATGATGCAAGATAAAACAATTTTTTTTCGAATATAATTTATTTTAATTTCAAATTTCCCAAATCTAAATATACTATGAAAACTATCAATCATCTAATTATTTTCCTTGATTTGATCATCGAGGAGATAGGCTGGATTGTCATATTTGTCAACTTCATAATAATTTCCATCAAAGTATCTGTATTTGAAGTATATGCGGTTTATAGCCGATTTACAACAATTTATACCATCGATACCAGAAGTTACTAAATATAAAGTTGGATTTTCAATTGCTCTGAATAACCCTATTAAACGACACATGTTGAGATAAATTGCAAAATCTGGTTCATAATTAACCAAGCTATACCTCTATAATATGCATGTAAAACTGTGATAAGTAGTTACCTTCGTTTATCTGAGGTGCTTCGATACCTATAACCAAAAAATAAAGCAAACGATTATACAGTTAAAAAAAAAATCAAATTTTATTTTCCATTTATAACAGTTTTTCTTATATTTGGGGAATACTTAGATAAATTATTCAACCTAATACAATGTCAAAACTTCTAGCAGCCGCGTTTAAGTTAATGACTTTTAATAAGTTTTGAGCAACCATCCAAATCTTAAGAAGGCATCGCAACGCCTATTTTTAAGGAGTAAAGTATAGGCAATTTTTCACAAAATCTTTATTTAAAGGTTAAACTGTGATGTGTAACTATTAGTTCAATAACTAAGACTCTATTTTGGTAGTTAATTTATTTTTTGGACTATCACAGCATCCTTGAAAGCGATTTAAAAATGTTTTTTCATCTCTACATGTTTAAGCAGACTGAAAATATCTCGATTAATTTTGGTTTTAGAGTAACAGCACCTATTATAATATTGAAAGAGACGCCCTCTTAAGGAAAAATCATAATATAAGTATACAACTTTGAACTTTAATAGAATATTTATCGTATTTATTGCAACCATACAACTATTAAATTTAATCATTGTTCGTATGAAAATGTAGGTTTTCATATTTTATACCTGTTACAGAATATACAGAGTGAAACTCATTTTCTCGGAAAATATGAATATTTTGAAAAAACATTTTTTCCTATTCTTTTAGGTATAAGTTTTACTACATTTTTCAATGCTTTGAACATTTTTATTGTCATTCCTTATACGATAAAAAGGGTCTAAGTTCACGTTTTCAAATGGCAACATATGTTTTTAATTCCATAAATTTGTAGGCAAAAAATTTAAAAATATGTTATCGTTTGAATTATTAATTTTTATCCATTTAGTCGTTAGCTATGACTTTGTACAGATATTACATTTTTTCTTAAATATTGTTATATTTCTTTGGTTTTCCAAAGACCGGGAGCCAATAAAATACTTCTTTATGATCACATTGTCCGATAGATGAGTACACAGATAACCAAACACAATAAAATGTTTTGTGATATTTTGGTTGACCAGCGATTCATATTAATTATAGATTACCGACTTTTCTAACACACCGTCATGACAGGTAGGTTGACAGACCTATATTGACAGCGGCTACTGAATGGCTATTTAACTACAACAATCAAAAACCATGGTACAAGTAGGTTGATAACTGCTGCTACGATGATAATACAAAATATTATTATCATTACTTAAAGGTTTAGTAAGCGATGGTTTAAAAGAGAACGTAATGTCTAGAAGCCGATAGGCTAAAATATCGAATGTCTGGTGTATTGTAGATACCTATAACAAAAATGTATCAAACGTAGTACGTTATGTCTTGGTATTGGTTGAATTAAAATCCTTATTTGTTCAGAAATCACCGTCTATGCCATTACCCGATAATGACGTACTGTACGTTTAGAGTGTAAATATCAGCATAATGCATTAAATATGTATATTAAAGGTCTGGTGGTTTAACAGAAGTTCAAGTGTTTAAGAACTCAAGAGTAAAAAACACGAATGAAATGTCTAGAGGTCAATCTGTATATAATAAAACTTAAAAGGGAAAGAAGTGAAGAGTGATAAAAACATTATTTGGATTTTTTATTGACTATTTGATGACAGTGCTTATAAAAACGTCCAAAGAGAGGTTAAATAAAATGTCTCGATGCAAACCTTTTAAGTTTTTAGATCTGGAGAGTTACATAATATAATAATAAAAATATTCAGTGCATCAAATCAAATACCTATATTATTTTATACTTATCCAGTGACATATTTTCTATGTAATAGATAAATTAATATACATTCATATTTTTTAATCCATATATTTAAATCCATAAATTGATATTTTTTTAGATGGCTAACCAATAGTTCATCCTACTAAATGATCATAATTAAAAATTTCAATATAATTTTATTTTTCATTATGTAATATCAATTTAAAAACAATTTTTTTTTTACTTGAATGATATGTTGAAAATCAAGTATGTGGTGTTGCTTACTTTACGGGCTTGGTAAGCAATGGTATAAAACAGAAAGAAATGTTTAGAGGTCAGTCGGCTAAATGTGTGGTATGGTGTTTTGCGAAACAAAACTTGTTTAAGTGTAGTACCTATACTATATAATATGTCTAGATATTGGTCATTAGAATCGTAATCTGTTGAGAAATCATATCTATGTCAGTATTTGGTATTGTACGTTTAGAATTAGAATTAGAATTTAATCATGAAAGGTACACGCGGTATACTAAAGAGGTCTGCTGGTTTGTCAGAAGTCCAAAATTGTAGAAAAATTATATGTTTGTGTATCCTGTGAACTCAATAGTAAAAAACAAATGAAATGTACCTAAATTAGTTATAATAGAATGAATAGCACAAATTATAAGTTAATCTAATCTAACCAAAGTGTAATATTCGAATTACAGTACAAAAAATATTGAAAATGCATCTTGAAATATTTTACATCAACAATCATACATACAATTATTTAAAAATTGGCAGTTAAAAATGTAAATAAGTTATTAGTTTTATAATTTGCTAAATGAGTTTGTAACATCAACAAAGTGATCTTGCATCCAATTTGACATTCTTATCATTTTTCGGCAGGCATGGAAATCAACAGACACTGTAAAAATTTAAATATATGCGTATATAGTTAGTATATGTTATTTATGTATAAGAATGTAATTAGACATACCAATACTGGTCAAAATATTTGGCTTGTATCGGTATCACCGATTGACAGTCTTCTCAAATTGGTGAATCCAACGTAGAAAAATCAAGTGGTAACATTAGAAAGCAAACTATCCGTTAATCAACATCAAAATGAATAACTACTGAAACAAAAACTCTGATCAATTAATAACCTAACCTAACCGTTGAAATGAAAGTGATATTAATTTATCGATATTAGTTACGTTAGAGCACTACCATATTTAATTAATTAATAAATATAAGAGTTTAATTTAATTATTTAAATTGGTGTTAATTATTTGTAAATTCAATTTAATTGCCTACAACAATGTCGTATACAGTATTAACTCGATACGCACAACGTGATACCTTTTAAAGATGTTATACTAGGATCCTTTAAAGTTGATCAAAGCCAATGCCCAGCCGTTTAAACCTTCCGGAACTATACTTCAGCCAGACGACTAACCCACACTAAGTAGTAATCAACCAGACGCCTAATACGGGTTTAATCGTAATTAGGGACTATATTCAATTATACCTAGTGCAAGATTAATGCCTATTTCCGTAAGTATAGAACTTTAAAGAATAAAGACTATTTGCAATTTTGATCACTAAAAAGGTTGTCCTAGCACACGTTATTTAAAAGGTAAACTTTAACTCTTAAAAATGAGACACTAAAGGTAACGTTAATAAATAAATACGCAAGTCGAAAATATACTTTAGAAATAAAGTATAATGGCACAAAACAACAGTCGATACAATAAGTTCTCCACCTAGTTAATGCTAAGCGGAGAGACGCCTTTGGCTTGTTTTACATTCACCTTTTATAGTCAAAAATAGTTAATATTGTTTTGCTTATTTTACATTAAGTTAATGTGGGTCATTTGAATGATTTGCCGAATTGGCATTATTGTTATACAGTACATAATATTTCATTATTTGAACATATAATTTGTTTTGCTTAATCTATTTACTTAAATTCTACTCTATACTACAACAATAACTGACTAAAATTAAGACACACCCTTATATTAACTTTTAAGTGTTTAGATATGGACAGTTACATAATAATAATAATATTCAGTGCATCAAACACCTGTATTATTTGATACTTTACAGAGACATATTTTTAGATGGCTAACCAAAAATTAATCTTACTAATAATTGAATGTTAAAATAATTTTATTTTTCATTATGTATTATCAATAAAAAAAAAATAGCAATAGCAAATTGTTTAGGGTGAAGTGAATACTTCTATAAATAATGAAATAGTAAATGAAATGTTAACGTGCCTCAGATATTATAATATTAATCACCTATTAAATGAAAAATTAGTTCCAATAAAAATGATTTGACAATATTATTATTATTATTAAGATTAAGTGTATTATTAAGTTATATCTACACCAACAGCAACTAAAAAAAAGAACTTATACAATAAACTCCTTTAAAAAATGGTCTAACAACACAGAATGTTGAACGCTAAAATAATATGTCTGAAGGCAATACTTTATGTCAATTAATGTATATAATTTTTAAGCACACAAAATTAGCCCCAGGTGTTATTTAAATTATAAAACAAATGTATAATGTTTTACTCATTAACAAAGTATCTAATCATTGTGCAAATATTATTATACACAAATACATGGGTAAATTAAATGGATTTAAGAAGAGATGCCTGACCTTAACCGCAGAGATTTTTCGATGGCCGCAGGAAAATCAATTGTGGACTTCATGAGACGCCAGAACTTCCACAACGCCTTTAAAAGTATAATAATAATAATAATTAGTAATTGTAGTATTTGTCATATTCAAATACAGAGTAGATAGATAGAATATTAATGCTTACCGGTAAACGAAAGTGTCGCAGAGTAGGTATACCCATTGGGAACAGCCTAAAACAATTTATGCACATACATAGAAAATAAGTAGGTAGGTAATTACAAATATATACAACGGAAAAATATACAAACAACGAAAAAATAATATACCGCTACTATCACATGCCATGGCGGTGTTTATCAATCGTTTGTTATATTAATTTTTTTAAGACACGACTGCGTCATAAGTTCAATAGAAATTGAGACGACGATGAAATATTAAAAACGTAATGTATACATACCTACAGAACGTTACTTTTTCAACTCCAAAACCCAACCGCAAACACTGACCATAAAAAATACTTTTTCCGTTAATATTTAAGACACATTTCACGTTTATCCGTTCGGAGATAAACAACACGACCGCCGCTTGCGGTGCGCCGTTATCAATGGCCCAGACGAAATCCGCGGCGGCTATGACACCGTATATCTGGCCGTAGAAAAAATGAACAGCCGCCGGACGCAGCCTGGAAGAAACGAATAGCCTACCAGTAACGTTTTATTATTATAAGGATATACACAACAAACGCGTAATGAAAACACCAACTGACATGACCGTTTCAGACCCACGGGTATAATATTTGTTAAATATTAAAATACAATTTTACCTTCAGAGTGGCCATGTTATTATGTCTTCGAATTTTTGCCGTAGACATTTGACATTTTTTTCAAATAATTTTTTACATTTTCTCAAATAATTGGTTAAAACAGCTGGCGATTCCAATAATTATTTCCTCTTTTTCCTTCTCGTTGGATGGTGTATGATATTACTGTCTGATAGAAAATACTTTCTGCAAAAATAATAGTGCACAATGTTTTTTTTTTAATATTTAAAAAAATAATAATACAAAGCATAACATAATTTATTGATAGGTACACGATTATCCAGTATCTATGGATGATGCATGTTAACAAATATTTCTTCTAGAATTTATTGATATTAAATCACCTTATCGGTTTTTTGTGTATAATTAATTGCTGAATTAACAAAACTTTGAAATATTAATGTATCTGTTTAAAATACGATTGTCATATTTCTATTTTATTTGTATTCTATGGGTAATACCGACTGACAGTTGATTAACTACGGATTTATTCTAAGTTTGTATCTGTAGGACATCATTTTCCTAAATATACAATAACAAACGTATTTACCCGTATTGTAGTCGTTTTAACTTTTTCGTTCCATTCCACAATCACTATTACTTACTG